CTCAACTACCGGTGCCTGGCACATTGGACACTTTCCCATGCTTTCGACCAATTTATGTGCACATTTTGAACAGGTGCACATGTGCCCACACCTGTAATAATGAAAGAAAATATCATTTGCAGTGCATTGCCATAGAGGTTTCTTCGACTAGGTAACAATGAACTTGGTAGAAGTGCATAGAATCAGACGAGAAGTTAGAACCCTTTCATAGCACATAATATACACATGTACAGATCTTTGTAGTTCCATACCTGTACAGCAACGAATCTATGTGGCCATCTTGACATAGACAGCATATTCCTTTCTTCACATGATTCCACTGAGATTCCTCCTTAGGCACAGTGCCTTCAAGCTTATCTGAAAAACCATATTTATGAAATAGGAAGACGATATGTGGTGATGGTAGGAAAATAAGAAAAGGTAATGAATTGGCGGGAATTAGTTTAAGACAGAATTACTAATGTTAACAACCCCCAGCACGAAATCTAACCTGTTGAGAAATTTGACCGATTTAAGGCAGCGGAAACCTCTTGACACAGAGCTCGCTGCAATTCTATTTGCATGTCCATGCATGCCTCCAGCATACTCTGCATATTGTCCATCCTCTGCTGAAGCCTAGCCATATCAATTCTCAACTCATTGATGACCTCCCACTCCTGGAATGTTCATCAAAATACAGCTTATCAAGTTAAATGTAAGCAGTGGGAAAGCTCCAAAAACAGTTAACCAATCAAGGGACAATAGCTTATTAAAGTTTTATAGCCTTACAATATCAATTAGAAAACAGTATAAGTAATAAGATACCAAAAAAATTCCATGCTGAGCCACGAGAGCAGAAGTGGCTGGTAAGGCATGAAAAGGGTAAGATGATCAAATAACCCAAAAATTGTATGAAATAATTTTACTACATCCACTAGATATGGAAAAATATGAATTTGAAGTGCTCACGGAAATTCATTTATTGATGCTCAAAAAGAATATATGTCAGAACTTTTTGCTACATGAGAGAGGATTCTTCGAAGATATTTAGCATCTGAAATTATACCATCTCTTTC